GGCCTCTGGCGGAGGGAGGGGGGGGGGGGTCGTATTTCCAAATTTTCCTCGACGCCTCGCTTGACCCTGTCACTAGTTACAACTATCATTCATCAACTGTCAGCTGTCACTGTGAATCGCTTAACTTTACTTTACTACCAGATTTACTTTGAGGCCGTCGTCATTTGTGGTGTGTCTTCCGCAGTCGAAGCGCTTGTAATTTTGTGAAACAGAATAATTCGTGGAGGGCGACATAGTCTGAGAACGCGACTGCCCGTATTGGCGGAATGAGGCGCAGAGTCAAGCCCCTACTCTCGTAACGATAGTATATCTCTCATTTCAACGCCCAGAAAATCTAATAATTACGTCGATAGTTGGCGTATGGGTCGCCAATAGGGAGCGACCTTTTCGCTTTTCGCAGCGCGCGACAACATGGGGCAGGTACCATGAAGGGATCTGGGTTTTTGCAGTGGAATCGCACTGGGAAAAGCAAAAAAATTGCTTTTTGCCCTAGCGACCCATGAATGATAAATACTCAATTCCATTTTATCATTTGTTTCCTGAAACTTGCTCTAATATTCTCAGAAAGAAATTCCGCCTAGCTTGATGGCTTCTCTACTACGACTCCAGTCCAAAAACAGAAACCGAAAAATGCCACCACCAAATCGCGCTTTCCGCAACGTGTGATTGATCGCGATGAGCGCCTATGGTCGAAAGATGAGTATATCACTTGGAATGCTAACCTGAGTGTTCATATCAGTTGGAACCAGTGCCCAATTTTGTTGCTTGCAGCTGACTGAAGCACCTGAGAGAGCACCAGACGAGCAGAGTGTCGCGCCGTCGTCCCTCCAAACCCAGTTAGCACCCTTTTTCATCCTTTCAGACCTCTTTTTCGTGAGCCTCGACCACAGCCCCTGCGCTTTTCTGCTTCATAATTCCTTTCAGAGAAGAGTTCAGCAGATAAGGAACACATATTTGAGCTCAGCGTCCCAAGGCGCGTATACACATATACATCTCATTTCAAATGGCCGGGTTGACCAAATGACCTTTCCTGGTTAGCACCAAAAGTGTATAGGTTCATCATAGTGTTGTGGAAGCGCGTACTGGATTGCTGTGAAGTTTGAAGGCGCGATTCGGAACGTTCGTGTCTAGAGACTGCGTTGCTTCAAACTGGCTTAGAAGCCTTGTGTTGGGAAAAGCCTTTGGTAGGCTTCAACCCATTCGCGACAATGGGCAGCCACCGGTGGCTTGACGCGAAGATGCTCTCTTGGACCATTTCATCCACCGGTTGCCCTCATGGAAAAAGTTTCAGCACCAATTGTTGATTTTTGCCACTTCACCTCACTTCAAGAAAGGGTCGCGAGGGACAATGATGGCCACCGGTAGCTGCCACTTTGCGATCGTCTCAAACAAAGCTCGTCCGAACGGGCAGATTGAAAATCCTGCGCGGTCGCGAATGGGTTAAGACGACCTCCGAATATTTAAATGAACCACATTAGCAAATCTTCATGACGCCGCTTGCCGTCTTCTATTACATTTAAATGACTAAATAAATTATGGAACAATATTGCTCCTTGCTCCAATGCTCATTTTGACTATTTAACAGATTTATTACAATGCTCTCAACGTCGTCGGAAAATGTCTGAATCACGAGGAGAATGCCAACTGAATAAATGCCGGCGGAGTGAGTTTACTTTGCCGGTGATGTCGCCAATTGTTTGTGGTGCGAAAGCTTCTCCTGTCACCTGAAATCTCATAAGATCGTTTCAGATAAAAAGCGTGACCTAAAACATAAGTAATCGTTTTTGTTTTTTTTGCTTTTTCACTTCCAGCTTTGCTATTCTGATAGTTCAGTCGAAACTTTCGAACTAAGCAAAGTAATGAAACTTCTGGGCAACTACCAGTCCATTGAACAGCAGTAAATTGTCCACGAAAGCTTTGCGTTCCTGTTTCCTAGACAGAGTTCATAGTCTATAACTCCCTTGCAGACTGTCTGCATTCTGCTTAGGGACCATGTGCGAAGGTACGTTGCAAAACCCTGGGAGGAGGTTGGAGTGGGAAGTGTAAAACTTTTGCTAATCCCCAAAGTACCAGTGTATTCGAATCATTCCGGCGGGTCTCGGATTGTGGATACAGGACATGTGAATACTGGATAAAGTCCACTAAGACCGCTCGAGCGAGAGTTCACCCGGCGTGGCGAGGTTAGTAAAGTGCAACAACTAACGAAGTTATATTATAAGGCCGATGTCAGACTTTGCGAATCGCGCGATTCGCTAGCGTCTGCGGTCGCGTCGCGGCCAGTGAATCACTCAATTGGCTGGTACCGCAAAACGCGACCGCGGACGCTAGCGAATCGCGCGATTCGCCAAAGTCTGACATCATCCTAAAAACGTCGCAGTGCCCATTGACGGTTCCAAGGCGACCAAGGCGAGGCAACAACCCGCTATGAGAGATTGAACCCCCTTCTGCCTTGAGGGATAGATCATGGACGAACCAGAGGTACGAAAAGCGCACTCTGACATCAAGCCCATAATAAGAACATCAAGATTTCCGGAACAATAAAGATTACAAACCTTGCTGTTGCAAAAGTTATTGATATCGAAAGACATAAAACCTTTCCTCACTGAGCCTTCACCAAATAAATTTTGATACCGTGGTGGAAGGAAGGCCTTAGAAGAAGGCTGTAAAGCAAATTATCATTAAATACTGCAACATTTATTGGTTGGATGCCACCAACCATCCGGCGGAACGCGCCCGTCCGACGCACATTAGGCTGGTGTCAGAGTCCGCGATCGTTGCAGGTTTCACGCGATTCGCGCGACGGGTCACAGAAATCACAAGTGCCCGATCAATACTGCAAGGTGCTCTCTCAATCCCGCCGCCACTTCTGCTTGATAGTGATGGCTGAATGACGACTGCTCATGATTCCACTTGTTTCATATTCAGTGTTTCAAATGTTCAAATGGGGCACTTGCAATTTTTGCGATCCGCGCGACCCACGCCAAAAACCTGATTCGTAGCTGCACAGTCTACGGGACTCTGATACCAGCCTTTAGTGGTGCTCCAGCGCAGGTTGGTCAAGCCGACCCTCACGGGAACCTTAGACGCGATCGTCAAAGCAGTCCAGGCCATTGAGGCCGGTGCATTGTGGATAAGAGTCCGGTCTGTGCCATCGCTTGTACCGTCCTCGCCACATCCGCTCGACCGAAGACCGGCCGACTATACGTTCGGTTAGCAATTGGACAGGTCTAACCCGTGGTTGGTGGTGACTTTCATAGTAAAGACACTCCTTGGGTGGTGAATGCTTCAAATACCCTTTTCAAGGCGCCCTTGCATGGTAGCTGAGCAGAGTGAAAAGGAGGTGGAGCGTGTGTCGAATACATAAGTGGACCGCGCGCGTGTTGTGTAGCGTCATTTGCAACTACACCAATATCGCCTCCTGTGAAGATAAGCAGAATTTAGCGCAGCGGAACATTAAAGCTCGCAAAAAAGTCTCACCTTATTCGCTTTCGGTTCGAGTGTGTATTGCCCAAATAGTGACATGCGTGGCCACCGTATTCAAAGTTACACCTCACTCTCGTGACTTGCGGTGCTCGGCGGGTGGCGTAAGAAGAGTTGCTGCTCAATGAGCTGCAGTGTCAGTGTCACTACAAAATGGAATTACGCCGTTCATGAGCCGGGTGAGCACGCCCGAACTAGCGTGCACTATGATAGTCCGCAGGGGGTCCACATTTTCCCCCCCCCCCCCCCCCCCCCATCAACCCTAGTGTATGAACCGCCTGTCTTATGGTGCGAGCAAATGCGATCATCACGACGCACACACCGCGTGCAGGTCCACAGGGTGGAAAATGGAGGCAGCGTCAGCGCGGCATTCGCGCGACGCCGCACGCGCAGATCTGGCGCGTGATCCCCTGCACGCAGCCGCTACGATTGCTACAGTGGGCTCAAACCGTTGTGCGTGGTCCCTCCTACCAGGCATCTGACAAACTAGCGCGTAAATAATAGTTGACGAGTCTGGCTCAAGACGGCAATTCCTCTCTCCTTAAGAGAACGCAAGAAAAAGATAAGTCCGTCCTGCCGAAACACACTGGAACATCGGATGACACGGACATTGCACACCGCCAGGGCGAGCTCGACAGGGTTACGGTGTATGAGGATGTAGGTTGCGAATGCCATATCTAGCGTAAATGTGTATTGATGCTGAGCTCACCGGCGCCACTCATTTTGCGTTACGCGAATTTCAACTACGGTAAGACTATCTCTCCATGGACACTATTATTAGGAAATTTTATTCAAAATAACAGCGTTAGTAAGAATAAAGGTCAGTACTTGAGCAAAATGAAAACGATATCTTCGCGTTCCCGCTCTTCGCTTATATATGGCCATTTCGCGCGCGATCGATCGCTTGATCTGCCTGCGCGGGATAGTAGGACGATTTGTCGTCACTCCGCCCAGCGAGAAAGCCTTATTGAGAACATACTGAAGTATAGGAGGTAAGAAAACAACAGATGAACAAATATTGAAAAACAGTAAACGATTAAATAAGCTTCTGTGATAAACCGTTTCATTTCTACCTGTCGACTTACTGTCGTTCCCCATAACTCTTATCGCGTTCCAATGCATATAGCTCTTCCTCTAGCTCGTATAATTCCCTTTGGGCGTTTTCCAAAACTTGTCGTGCATCTGCCTTTCGGTCCGGAATATTGCATAATGCCGTGTTGTGACCGTGGTCATCCGGAATGAAATACTCAAAGGAAGTGCGTGATACGCGATCACAATAGTAGCAACTTTTGTTTCTGGATTCACAGTCTTTCGAATTGCCACATCGTGCCAGGCAGTACTGGCAGTATTTCTTTTCCAGGGCTATGTTCCATCGTTGATTTCCATTTGTTATCGTGGGGCATGAATCGGAGAAGTGTTCTCCCTCCACGTCGCAAAACGCGCATGTCAGTCTTCTCTTCATATTAGGAGAACGCCACTCTTTCTTCCTGTAAGAAACGTTCCTGAAGAGATTTCTCCTTCTATCGCTTATATTTTAAATCCTGTATTTGAGTTCTTTCTGTGAGCTCCCTGAGCTCTCTTTCCCTTTGCTCGTAGTCCCGTTGACGCGAATTTAAACGTTGCTCTGGGTGCACCACTTCAACAACGCGGTCGTTTTTCCTTCCTGGGTTTACTTCTTCGATCGTCTCTTCTGTACCATCCTCTGATCGCATTTCCCAGTCTCCCTCGACATCGTCGTCATCATTAGCGAGATCGGGGGGATCTTGACCTTCACTTGCTTGAACTTCTTGGACCATACGCGACCAATAGGCGTCGTCACTCATCTCGTCGTCCCTATTTGGTACCTTCTCCGGTTTGTCCAGCATTTGCTTAATACGCGATATTTCTTCAGATTGCTCGTCAATTTTTCTTCTGAACATCCGCGAACCGTTTATCAGGCGTCATCCTTGTCTGAAGCCGTCAGGTTCTCGAAAGGCTCTGCGAAACAATTTGTTGATGTGTTCAGCGTTAGTGTGGCATGGGCCTTCATTGAAGTCCTTCTCAGCCTTTTCCAACTCGAATTCCATCTCGTTGATGACTTCTTCAAATCGTTTCTTGTTCTTGTCAAGCTGAAGCAGCATGCTCTCGACTTCCTTGTCCCATTCTTTGACTGACACGTTGACATGTCTTTCTCCAAGATGTGCGACTTCCTTGTAATACTGGCTCGTATAAATGAAGCGAACTCCCATACGCGATATCTTCTCTTTGGTCCGCAGCAATTCCTTCATTTGCTTGGAAATGGTTCTGATCTTCGACGCGGGCGTTCCAAGCATGAAACTTTCCTCAGTTTTTAAATAGTTCCAC